CTAATTTATGGAGATAGTGTTAACGTCTATACTAACCTTCATCTATCGAAAGGTACCCCAATAATAAATCGAGTTAGCGTGTCTTATTTACTAGTGGATTGATGATTAATAATCGTAGTGGTAGTTAAGCCATAAATTGATACAAAACTGAATGTTAATTCTCTTCAAGTGACATGAGCTTAAACATCTCTATCATCTAAGAATGCTTAGTTTATTCATATACGTTATAAAATACTACTTTGTGTAAAATCCAACACAGATCAACAAGATGTGTGCCTACTTGTTTTGCATTGATCACATGCGTTGTTGTTTAGAAAAATGTGATGAATTTAATGATTAGTGCCAAAAAATAATAACAGTTATAAAGAGAGAGAGAGAAATATTTGACTTACTAACAATCAGCATTATCAAAATTCTGTATTAATTTATACACGAGCACATATTCATCTGGTTTATTTAAACATTATCGAATTTAGGCGCTTTTTATTATTTTAGCTCAATACAAATTGACTTAGATTTGCTAAGAACTGACGAAATTCAAATGAAAAAATAAACCATGTAATGATTTTTAATAAAGAGTTCCTAACGATAATTTCTATACATATTTCTCTTATATGGCACCATACAGTCGGACATTTCTCCATCCATTGGCAGCACTACAGTAATTATTCATTTTGTTATGTTGTCTTAAGTAATAATTTAAGTGAATAGTTAGTATACGTTAAGTATTAATTTAGATTAATTTCGTATTCTTATGGAAATAAAAATTAGTTGCAAAGTAATTATTTAGATCCTTTCTAAAATGGCCATAGAAATTTTAAACATAAACGGTGCTATGATATAGAATACTGTCATACCAATTACTGGCAACGAAGTTTGCCTTTTTTGAGTAAAGCATATATATATATATATATATATATATATTTCTATACAGTATATGCTTTATATTCTTATAAATGTATTCTTATAAATAATAGCTCTGTATCAAGACTTAAAAGCTGCAATTAAAATTGCGCTAAATTATCAAATGGAACAGAGACTTTAAGCATTAGTTTCTTGCAGTTTTTGACAAAGAAGATATTACTGGCCTTAAATCAACAGTTATAAAATATCAAATATATTTTAATAAATTAATTGCACCGATTTTAAAACAAGTAATATTTGCTACTCGAATTTTCATTAAAAATGTCTATCAAATTTAAGGTATTAAGAAAAGAAAAAAATTGTTTCGATTTAAATTTTTAAAATAAATTTTTTTTTATTCCTCTTTCTAAATTGGGTAATTACACCTTTATGCTGTAGAGTGATGGGCGACTTATTAACACGAGTATTCGTGCGACCTTCAATTTTAAATAAATTAAAATTTTCCGCTTTAGCTGATTTTCCATGCTTAGGGTTTTAGTCGGTGACCTTCAATAGCTTGAAAGACCAAATATTTTATAATTCTATGCTGTCCCTCAACATATTTATTCCAAGAAACAAAACGAAATAAACTCGCTGTATCGATTCGCCCCAAGTTTAAATAATTATTCAATCAAGAAAATTACAGTAGAGTTTGCATAACTGCTTGTCTTTATTTTCTTCGTGAAGCTCTGTATATGTCACGCCAAGTACAATTTCTTGATGGAATCCTTGAAAAAGACTTAAAAAAGAAAAATAAATAACATTTGGCGTGTTTTTTGAACTTGACATTCAGAGCTTTTAATATTGATGAATTGTTGCCATTCATTACCTTTTAAAAATGGTATCAGATAAGATTAAGTAAATCTGAAACACGAAAAAGTAATTTTGTTGTTTTTTTAGGCTTGAATTATTTTGAAAACAAAGGAATTTGAGGTTTAAATTGTCTCACTTAAACTCTTCACGTCCAAATTACTATAAAAAAAATTAGAAATAATTATTATTTTGTTAGAATTCACTCAAACATATCAGGCAGTTATGTAACTCTTTACCATTTTGCATTTCATTCATAAACATAAAAGATAGCTAAATACTGCTAATAGAAATAGTGAAAATAAAATTGGTCACATTGAAAAAAGTGTAACTTACCACTATATTTCCCGAGCTCTTCGATTCACTTACAAATCGAGCCCCGAGTTATAATATTAAGGGAGCGTTCAGATATTGCGTGAGTATGTTTTTGACATTTTTGAGCTATACTTCCCCCCCCCCCTCTTCCCATTTGTCAGCAAAACTACGCAATCTGACACCCTCCAATTTTTACGCAAAAAAAATCTCACTTTTTTTTTCTTTAGCTTTTACTGTAGTAAAGCAATTTTAAAAATTTTAGAAATACATTCAAGTAAAATTTACCTTTTAAATTTATTTTATAAGGCTTTGAAACTCCCTGAATTTTTTTTTCTCTCCCTAAAATTAGCATTTATATCAAATTTAAAAATTTTCACGCATAATTTTTTTCTAAGACTTCTTGTTAATTTTTTTTAGCCTATAAATTTTTTCTTTCTGGTAATAAAAGGATTTCAGTGACTTACATAAACTTTGCACATACCTCCCCTCAATCAACAAAGAAAAGAAAAAAAGCAAATCACCAAACCCTTCCTACCTTTAGACACTTACGCAATATTTGAGCCTTTAGGCGCTTACGCAATATCGGCCTCAAGTGCTGTTATTCAATATATTGTTATTTAATACTGAAAAAAGCTAATGTTGATTTATGTCTTGATTGAGAGCTGATTTATGTCTTTACAATTTTCTAAAGTTTTGCAAATAGCTGCCATTTCTGTGAACTTTAGCAGGGACCTTGCTTAATTAGTAATGTGTATAAACTTATTTTTTTCCCATTAAATAAAGTAAGTAAATAAGTTTACGAATCGAGTTAAGATTTTATTTGAATATTAGTTCTTGAGCAATATTCCAGCCTCAAAGGGAATGATAGCCTTAATTTGTTCATGATGAAAAAAATTCTGGCGAAATTACCCTACTGAATAGTCATGGCATTTCTGGTTAAAAAAGTATTTACATATTTCTAGTAATAAAACCAAGAATATATATGGTATTTAAACCATTCATTTGGTAATTTTTCCCTTTATATACAAACGTCTTATCGGAAGTTCTGATTTTTTAAGTTATAGTTCTGTTCTGATTATTACACATTTAGTAAAAAAAATGCAAAACTGAAAAGTAAATTTAACCAAATAAATAGTTTTTATGTCCTGCTTTAAGGTATCATGATAAAATTACCAAGTTTCCCCACATTTATTAAAATTTATCGCAAATTATAAAGCTATATTTTATTGCAAATTTTATCAAAATCATTAACAAAACGCTTCTGTAAAAAATAACCGAGCTTTTTGGTGTTGTCGTAAAGGCAGAAACACGTTTAACTTTACCATATTCTGGCAGATTTGGCCATGCTTTTCTTTTTTCCTCAGTGTCTTAATAGAACGTTAATCTCTCGATATATTGCGAAACAATATGACTATTTATATAAAGAACATAATACTTTTACTTCTTGATATAAATTCAAAGATAAGTAAGATTTATGGCACTTATTTAGAGAAAATTCGTATAGGAGCCAGCTAAGACATCGAGTATCATGGGATAAAATAACATGACCTAGAACAGATCGTAAAGTTTTTTACTTTCTTCTTTTTTTTTTATAAATTAGAAAAACAAATAATGCTTATCATTAAATCTTGCGAAATAATTTTAAACAGTTTTGTTATTGAGAATTCTAACTTTAAAATGGTTACGGTTGACAAATCACTTGTGACTTATGCATTCCAGAATATTCTTTTGATATGCCAAGGCCTCGCCAAAGAGAAGAAAAATCATAATACTTCATTAAACATCTGCAAAAATTGCATACAAAAGTGGAATACATTTATTTAAATGATTCTAAATTAAAGAAATTGTTGGAAAACATGTAAAAATGCATGCTATTGTATTTTTTGTAACTTTGTTAAACTTATGGGGGGCAAAAAGAAGCTTCTTCAAGCAAAAAGAAGAACAAAATATTTTTATTCCTTCCATGTAAAATCTACGGAGAATTAGGTCCAGAATTTCCTTATTTATTCAGTAACTAGTGAATGTTTCTGAATAATTATTACTTTATTTTAGTCATTAAAATATGTTTTATTGAACTTATTTATAGAATTTACAAATTTCTTAGCTGTAAATATTTTTAAGTTTTTCTTTAAATGTTTGAAGTTTCAAAAGTACATACAATTTAAAATTCGGTAACTAAATTCAATGGGACACATTTTAATGATAAAAATGAAACATGAATTAGTTACTGAATAGGCAAGGATATACCTGACGTATATTTTATTATAAGGAGAGATTGCAAGAAAAGAATATCATAGTAACCAGAAACTGAGTTCAGCAAAACTTTACAATTGAAACTTGTAGCCAAACCTAGGGGCCCCCGATTCTACACTTTAACCTAAAGCAGTATTTCTATTGTATAAAGTAATACAATGATTATATCTTATTACACAGCATTTCATGATAAACATACTTAAATATTATAATTTATGATAGCTGATAAATCATTTTGAAATTATTAGACTGAAAAAAAATTATAATTCAGTACATAATTTTGTATACATTGTATTGCATTATAGATGTAAGGCATTTAGAAGGCGCTTCCTGTGTCCATTTAGATTCGTTTAATGATTATGAAGCTGATTTAGGCTCCGACAGTCTAGCTTCTTGAACGGAATGACAATTCAGCTGATACCCCTTTTTTTCTCGTTAAATTGGAATTTTGCACTAATAGTTAATAGAATTATTTCTGCTTAATTGTTTATTTTTTCATGAATTACTTTCATATGTCTGATTTTGGGGTAAACAAAAATATCTTAGAACCCAGACTTGGTATATGAGCAAGTCATTTTGTCGAATACAGCAATGTGCGTTTGGGAGCAAATCGATTGGGCATGATTTTCTGAGAGTTTGCACAACAATGTACGGGGTTCCCGAGTGTACCTCCAAGATTTTAATATAAAAAAAGAAACATTCAGGATGACGTCACTCACCTTTGTGATGTAGGGTGCTGCATTGGGAAACTTCCACCGAAACAGCATACCAGCGCCAACTGGTGCAGTCACAGAAGCCAAAGAAATGGACATTTTACTGTAAGGAATGGTCAAAGCTCCTGTCTCCAGCCACTGTCCGTACACCCACATGTTTAGTGGCATCATAGCCAGGGCAGCCACCGTAGAACACGTAGTCATTGTAACACTGAAAGGAAGAAAACAATGTCAAACAATGTCGGAATAACTATACATTTTGATTTAAATAATATGGATGTATTTTAATGTCAGTTTAAGAAAACAAAGCGCAAATTTTCAAAAACTGTAGAATTGTAAATTTGTAGATCTTATTGAAAAAACTGTACACTGTACGCAAAATAAAACACGGATCACCTTAATTTTTTTTTATTTTATCAAATGATATGATTTTCAAGTACTAAGATATGATATCTTTGGACATATTCAGATTTTTCATTCTTGAAATTCTGCGATCTGGAAAATACGGGCATATACGGGTAAATAAATGTATGTTAAGTGTGAGTCATGTGTAAATGAACTAGTGACAAATGGAGGTTTCTGATGTGCTTAATAATCAGGATAAATTTTATTGTTAAACATCATTTGCTGTCATTTTTGGGAGAGACAAATGTTTGTTTATTTGTTATATTTGGAGAGCAAAAGCTAAAAACAAAACCATTAACAATGGAAAAATGTATAGTACGTATTTAATTTCAAAAACATACACCACTAATTAATTACTTTTCTTTAAAAGCAAACTTTTTAAAAAAATTTGTTTTTAAGTTCTTTTAAAATTTCATTATTTAATGTTTGTTTCATTTTTTAGTGATGCTTAATTGTTGTTTGAAGACTACGCAATTGTTTGCAAATTGCAGGAAAGCTGCAATTGTTTTAAGGCATGCGTAAAGAGTGTTTTTTTCTTCTTTTTTTAATTTTTGCAGTCATCAAGCAATTCAAGGTTTCACTTTATCTCGGAGGTGATGAAATATTTCTCCTAATTTTGCGTTTTATTGCTTTTTCTAAAAAAAAACGTTTAATATTTTGAATTAGTTCTTACATTTGAAGTCATTAAAATGCTAGTGTGTAACTACCGATACGTTTCTATAAAGATAAAATTTAAAGCGTAATTTTAAAAAATGATGTGGATAAACTTTAGTCTAAATTAGGTCAATTTTATTTCACCTATTGTTTTTATTTTTATTTTTTTAAATATTTTATGAATAGTTTTCAGGACTATGTTTTTGTAAGAGTATTTTCGATTTAGTAGACAAATAAAATGCTCACATGATTTATAGGTATTAATTTTTTGTGGTTTTTAATAATTTTGGCAATAGTTATGGTAATTTGAAATGTATTATTTACTTCAAAAGGAAAAAAAAGCAAGAATTTATGTGAAATTCTTTGCATTTCCGAGGAAAAGTAGGAAGAGTTTCAGTTACGAGATTTATAAATATTATGCTTGTGGATATTTATTCGATGAACAACAGAATTTGACATTATTACGTTTGAACAGAAAAAGAACAAACAATAAATATTAGTAAAATAATATTTTGGAAGAGTAACAGTAAAATAATATTTAAAAAAATAACTACCATTTGCGGTAACAACATGGTGTTGTCGGGGGGCAAAATTTACAGAAGCCCTTGCAAATATCGTATTTAAAACTCACTGATACATAACATATAAAATTGCTTTATTGTTTTTATCAAAAAATTAAAAAATCATATACTTTCCTGTCATTTTTTAAACCTGTTGTTCCTTTTAAGTAGCTCGGTATTTAAACTGTAATTTTTTTATTTCGCTTGGCAAAAAATCTCGGGCAGTAGCCATAATCTTTTTTAATAATAATATAAATTATCACATAAAGCACGCCCTTATACATATATGCTTTAATTATTATACAGCTAACAATAAACTTATATTGTTTGATAATTGAAACAAATATTTTACAATAATTTAATATTACGATAACCTACCCTTGGCCTGCTTTAAAGCGAGGAAAGAAAAAAATAACATTTTAACTGTTATTTTTCAAAGAAAAAAGCTGCTTTTCCTGTAAAATATGTGTGTCAAGTTCTATGGCTATCAAGGACAGCTGTTTCTTCGCGTGACAATCTCCTTAAACGTGATCTTAAGTATTCTACAATTCTCATTATTTTACCTGATTTGAATTGTATTTAAAAATAATAATGATTATTAATAAATATAATGCCATTTTATTTTTCTGCATAAAACACTGACGTTACTGAGATCAGATAGCGTAAAGAAGAATAGAGCTTATCTGTTGATTTTAGAAAAAAAATCTTTTAAGAAAAAGAAAGAAAAGAACTTTAGAGTTTTCGTATTTTTGTAAATTGCATAAGGCTTTCACGTGGCTCAGTATTCTTTAAGAAAGCTCTTTAGAAATTCAAGTCTGTAGAAATAAAGTTTTCTCTAGAATGTCGATAAAGAAATCAAGGAAATCTGTGATCCACATTTTAATATCTAAATTATTAAAAAGTGAATCAATGTTCTTTAAAATATTACAAAAACAAATCGAATATGTAAGTTACACAATCGCAGCAATTTTTTTAGATAAATGCTCAAAACCCTTCTTAATAGTATTAAAAGGTATTGGAAGGATAAAATAAAAATAAAAATTCCGGTGAAATTGTTGTACTGTATGGTAATTATTTTTCTGGTAGAAAAAAACCATAATTCTGGTTAATGAAACCAAAATATAAGGTAATTAAATCATTCATTTGGTGATTTGTGCACTCGTATGGTATCGATTTACCGGAAATTCTAGTTTTCAAAATTATATTTCTTCTTTCTACACATTTAGAAAAAAAAAATACCAAAATTATTGTAAAATTACCAAATTTTATGACATTTACCAAATTTTATCACTTATTATTAAACCATATATCATTCTTAATTTTATCAAAATCAGTATCATAGTGTTTTAGTAAAAATCACCGAGCATTTTGATGTTCCTATGAAACCAGATTAATTCTACCATATTCTGGTAGTTTTGACAGTACATCTTTTTTCATAGAGAAGTATGCAACTTATATATGCTGTGGTAAATGCTGGAAGATTTTTCATTACATCAACTGACAACATATCTTTAGTTATCACCTTTTTTTGAAATATCAATCGTTTAAATCGTATTAAAATACTTCAAACAGTTTCAAAATTTTTATTTTTGAGTTTGTTTAAAGAATTGTAGTATATACACTAAATCGAATAAGTTCATTAATTTTCTGAGAAGACTGTAAATTGTTTCGGAAAATCTTTCTTTATTGAAAATTTTTATTCATATTCATAAAATATTTTAAAATTATTATTTGTAATAAATATTGATATTATGTAATATTTATTCATTAGACAAAATCTAAAGATATGATTCGAGTATTTTTATAAAAATTTTTTATTCTATTCCGAACATTCTTGTTTACCTAATATAATAATAGAAAATGTGCTTATTATTAATACAATCTCAAAACAGGTCATTATAAACAGTTCCTAATCTTAAAAAAGAAGTAAAAAAATTTTTATTGCATGGATTATTAAACAAATGCTAACATTTTATATGAAAAATTTTTTTTTAAACAATTTACCAAAATATTTCCAATGCAACTAATAAATATTATTTAAGTAAATTTAAGAAGATCATTGAGTAAACAAACAGAAAAGAATGTTTTTATAAATAGCAACATTTTCTTTCGAAAGTAGTTCAAGTTTTCTCGATAATCTTGAAAGTGAACTTGACACAAAATCGGCAAAGCGAGGAAGAGAAAAGCAGCTTCGCTTCACTTCATATCAGATAGGCATTTAGATGTCTCTTTGAAAAGTTGCAAAATATCGTTTGCATCTAAGCAGATGAAAACGTTTACAAATTACTGAAACAAAACGGCTTAGTGATGTGTGTTTCATTGATAAATTGCGATTTTCTACCAATATCGATACCTATTAATCTTAAAATAAAAAACTGGTAAATGACTTAATTTTTTTTAAAAAATATATCCCTGTTTAAAATTTTTTATCAATTAGTTTGTTCGTAAATTTAAAGCACTGAAGGAATTTTTACTTTGAAATTACGGTAAATAATCGGCTGCAGTCTGTCCATACAATTAACTAAAAAGTTCATGGTAAGGAACATCTCTTTATCTTTACGGTTTTGAAACCGTTTACAACTGGTACGGTTAAAAAACCGTGAATACAAAACTACACGGTTTTGTAACTGCGTAATTTCTAAACCATAAAAATAAAACTTGAATAGCCATTGGAGCGCTGTGGGTGCAGCGCCATTTATGCGGGAATGACAGTTTCGTATTCTAATAGCTTAGGGTTATTGATTGAAGATTGCAGGACTCTAGAAACTCTTCATGCATTGAAGGATTGAAAGAAATATTGTGGTATCAACGCTGGGATGCGAACCACTGTTCTGCTGGTTATGAGATTGGCAGATTTAGCCCTCTCAGCTACAGTATGTATTCAGTCGCAAGGAACAAAGTAGCTTTATAAGGTGGGCCTAGTTGGCGCTGACAAAATTTTGATTGCTAAATCGTATTACGCAAAAACAATCAATATGTGTTTTTTTATTGCACTTAATGGTGTGAATATCATCTTTTTTATGGTTATTTCACTGTTTTGGTGGAATATGGTAAAAAAGCAATAAAATAAATTGCATTTCAACCATTTTATAATCATTGAACACAAATTAATAATTAGAACTATTAAGCATCAAATAATAATCACAAAATAGGGGAAATATAATATTAACCTACTAAAATATTCATTTCTGAAATTAGAAGAAATATTTTATATAAAATATTGAAAGGTGAGAAAATGTCATTTTTACTGCGTTTAAAAATAATAGTTGCTGAATAAAGCGATAAACTAAACAGCAATTTATTTTAAATAACAATAAAAATAAATTTTATGATTAACGTTGTTAAAAATATCATTTAACAGAGTTTGTATTCACCATGATACTTAAATAATATTAAAATTCCTTAAAATTCCAATGCTTGAAGTTGAAGCTTTTTAAAACTCAGAAAAAGAATACTATTTAATCTTAATTAAGGTTTACTTTAAAATTGTAATTAGCATAAATTATTCTTTTTTTCAAATCAAAATATTCATTCACTAAAAAAAAATATGCGAAGAAAGTAACTGTGTTAAGGCGCCATTGGTAGTCAATCA